AGTCTCCAATGGAGACGTTACTGGGCCCGCTCGAGCAAATCGATGATCAACGGGAGGGCCTTTACTTTTACTCAAGCAAGGGGCTGGAGCGATAGTACAGTGGATAAGACGTTTGCCTTGCTCGGAGCCGCCCTGGGTTCAATCCCCGGCATCCCATGTGGTCCCCCAAGCACCACCAGGAGTAATTCCTGAGTGTAGAGCTGGGAGTAGTCCCTGACCATCACTGAGTATGACCCCCCCCAAAAAAGCTAAATAAATAAATTTTTATAAAAAGACTCCAAGGTTTTTAGATTACGAACTAAAATCCTGACCTATTTCAAGAGAAGAATTTGTGCAATGGAACTCCAAATCCCCTGCTTCGAAGCAGGAAACAACTGCGAATTAAGTTATTAACTTGTTATTTTTGCCTAAGGAGCTGCTGAGAGAAATATGTGGATTTCAGGTGTCTAATTTCAGATCTAATTGAAATCTTTTGTAGCCTCTCAGGAAATAGAATTTGTACACTAATAGAAACTGCTAGTTTCCTTAAAATTGCTCATGTGACTTAGTTTAACAGAGACACTGTTACAGAAAGAATCATTTCTATTCATAGTAGTACACAGGCAAATTAAAGAAAACAGAACTAATGCTCAGATCAATAATGCAGCGTTTAGCCATAGGCTATCTTACAAAGTAATATGGTAAATAAACTGTCTTTTTAAGTGAAAAAATTTAGAGTACCATTATGAATTTAAAAAAACTGGAGATCTTACTAAAAGATGAACATAAATTTCTTCTTTGACCATTTCTGTGGTTTGAGGGTGTAGAAAAAAATATATATATATATTTAAACTTTTGGGGTGGGTCATACCCAGTAATGCTCAGGAGTTACTCTTGGTTCTGAACTCAGGAATTACTCCTGGCAGTGCTCAGGGACCATATGGGATGCTGGGGATAAAACCAAGATCAACCATGTACAAGGCAAATGTTGTACCTGTTGTACTATCGCTCCAGCCTGAAATCATAATTTTTTAAATTTTCTTAGCATAAACTCTTATTCATGTCAAGAACTCTTTAAAGTGCTTCAAAACTTCCAAAATTCATCAAAATCAAATAACTAAGAACTTTCTTAGAAATAAAAGGTGAAAGTTATTGGGAAAGGTACAATTTTACATAAAAAAAATCCATGTACAAAAGCTGTGCTAAAGAAAGAATTAAATTGCAGAATTAAATTGCAATCCATTTCAGGAAGTTGATGGATTCTTATTAGGTAAGTAAGAGGAAGTTCAGGCATTCAGGAGATATTTGCATATTCTGACACTGAAGTCACAGAATGCATTTACCATCTCGGGCCCAAAATAGCCCTTTGGTAAGCTTTTAAAGAAAATATTTAAAATAAACATAAAATATATTTTATAAAATACAAAATAGTATGTATTGGAAATGGGTGATTATACTCTGATATTGGTGCTTCAAAGTAAGTTTTAAACTATTAATCCAAGGAAAAAACTGGTATACTATTGTGATTCTAGACAATTCTAAAAGTTTTCATAACAAATAATGATTAGAAATAAAAATTCCAACCAAGGTTCTGCTTTAGATAGTCCAAGAACAGCAAAAGTTATTAATGATGGTCTATGAGTTGCCAAACAAAAACTATTCATATCATTTTGACTCCAATATTTTTTAAATGTTTATATTTTTGGAAATATATTTTGTTCCTCACCGGGGCCCCTTGGAGGGGAGCGGGTTGAGCTTTCCTCCCGGCCCCGATCAGGGCTCCGGCAGCCGAAGACCTCCAGGACCAGCCACCACCAGGCTGAGACCACTCTCCGCACACATGAAGGTACTGGCAGAGCGACAAATCCATGCGGGTTCTGGGGCCGAGATCTCCAAGCCTACTCGGATTGGAGTTGAGCATCCTCCACCCAGATCCTCCAAATTCCAGTAGACGGGGGTCACACCCACCACCTGGCCCCCTGGCGCTGTGTAATCCCATCAATGGCCAAGACTCAGAGACTATAAAATCCAGCTCCCAGAACCACGCGGCCGCAAATGCAGCCGCGCGACTTCTTATTATGACATCTTATTATCTCATTCCTACTTTGGACAAACTGGCAGGCTACCGAATGTAGCCTGCCCACACGGCAGAGTCTGGCAAACTCCCCGTGGCATACCAAATATGCCAAATACCAGTAACAATGATGGGTCTCATTCTCCTAAAGAGCCTTGAATATAATCTCAGGGCTAGGATGAAAGAGATGTTACTGGGGCCTGCTCGAGGCAATCGACGAATAACAGGATGATGAATGAAAATGAATTTTTGGAAAGAAAGATGCGTCTGTAGGTTGGTTTTTAGGTTGATTTGTGTTGGGCCACACCCAGTGATGCTCAGAGGTTATTCCTGGTCCTGCACTCAGGAATTACTTCTGGCGGAGAGCAAGGAAGCGAACGGGTAGCCAGGACGGAACCTGGGTTGGTGTGTGCAAGACAAGGCAAACACCCTACCTGCTGCACCGTTTCTTCCTATTGCCATACGATGGGTTTTAAATCACATTTTACCAGCTACTTGATAAATTCCAAAATCATATTTTTCTCTCCCAGCCCCACCAACTAAAACCACTCTTAGGAGACGTAGTAGTGAATCCCAGAAGACAACAGCTCATGGAGATCTCTCCAGCCCGTGCTAAGGGGATTTCATTAGGCTTCTCTCAGATGAAGCGGGTGTCCCTTCTCCTCCCACTCCAGATGAATCCCCGGTGATTTAGAGTCTCACAAATGAATCTCAAAATAAATTAGTTCTCTACAGAGATGTCTCTGGACCCCAATCATTTACATATTTAGAATTCCGGGAGAGGCCATGGGACCTCTCATGATATTCATAATAAGCATTAGAAAATAAATTATCTAGAATCTGCCTGTGGCACGCAAGCTTGAATGGTGGTGAGAAATTTTGAAATAATGGTGCTGGGAAGGTGTAAGTGGTGGGATTGGTTTTGATATATTGAATGTATCAATTGATGTGAACAATCTTATGAAAATAAAATTTATAAACAAAAAAAGACAAGCACCTTATTCAATGTAAAAATAAATGAATAAATAAAACCATTCCTACAACATTTTTTGTAAGTACGCAGTGCCTCGACCTCTGGCTAGTCTAATAATGTATTAGACTATAGCTGAAGTCATAAAAAAGTCTTTAAAAAAAACCTGATTACTTCTAGAAAAAAAAACAAACAAAAAAAGCCTTGTAATTTTAGTTTCTGACTACTCAGAAAAAGCCATCTCTAATTCTAAAAGCATGCTGAAAAGTAGCTATCCCTGACAGTTTATCTGAGAACCAATTTGATGTTTTAATATAAGCCAGCAAGCATTCTACATAAACTTTTGTGATGTCCATGAACAAAAAGCTCTATGAGAAAGGGGTGCCTGAAATTTGAAATGTGTGGGCTATTTCTGGTAGACTGTTTTGATATTGGAGTAACTTTAAGTGACTAGTATCTGAGTGATTCCTCAGATACCCAAAGATTTATTAGAAAACAGTAATGAAGGGTTTGTAACAACTTCTCACACCTAATCCTCTTTCATGCTCCTTCCCCAATCACCAGTAGCCTCAGCTGATGCATTTGTTTTTTTGGTATATACAGAGTGGCAAATGATAACGAAAAATGAACAGTTTTCAAGGGTCTGAGTGTGCATGGGGTTAGGGCACATGCCTTGCATAGTCAACCTTGGTTGTATTCCTGGCACTATATGGCACACCCAAAGCATCACTGAATATAGCCCTGGAAGCCCCAGATCATCCCTGAGTACCCCTGAACCAAAACCAGGGTGGCCCAGGTAATTTCTACCATCACAGGGCCTGAGCAGCACCACTCCTTCAGGCTCTAACACTGAACCCCCCTAGCTGAGGTTGATCCAGAATTGACAGGCCCCCTGAGTATTGCTGGATCAGCCCGCCCCCACCCCCGCACCACCATCAATCCAACAACAGTAAGAAAAAAATAGATGCACAACATCCATGCTCTACACTGAAGAAGACAGAAAGTGCAGCAGAACTTCATTCTTCTGGCTCTTCCCCCAGGAAGCATGTGACTAGGTGATATTAGTAATCCCAGCCTTCCCTTGACCAGATATGGCTGCATGAACTGTAAGGTCACCAATGGAAAATGGACAGAAACTCTGAGTTCAAACCTTGAGGGAACATCGTAGCCCCTGGCTCCTTCCCATCCTCCAGGTAGGACAATAACCTGACTTTGGACAGTGAAGTACACTGTTGTAAGGCAAGGGTGGGGAACTTTTTCCTGCCTGGAGCCATTGAGATGTTTAGAACATCACTGGCAGGCCAGGCCATACCAGCAGATGTGCTGCAGGGAGCCAGTGCATCCAAATCGGTCTTATCGTGCAGCGATGGTCTTTTGAGCATAGGCTTTGTATGGCTTGCAGACCCAAAGTTCCCCACCAGTCTAAGACACAGTAGAGATGGACAAGTGGGCTCTGTCCCTGATGGTCCCAGGAATCAGAGCTACCAGCTCGGTTAACGCTCTTGAAAGACTCCACAGACTGTTTCTGGAGAGAAACAAACTCCTATCTCTTTTCAACCTAATAAATTGGCATTGGTATTCTCTCCAAGAGCAGCTGGCTTTACCTTAACTAATACAAAAAGTCTGTACAATCATAGAAAACAATAATAATAATAATTAGTATTAAAAATCAAAGAAGATACGGCCAGGTTGTGCTGAAGGCTAGGAGAAAACAGTCTATCTGTTCTAACCAGTCTATCTGGTCAAATTCCCCAGGCAGCACTGTCCTCTCACAGTGTGCATCGTGACATCGGAATCGTTTTCATGTCAAAGCATAATTGCACCCTGAGCTTAAAAAGAAACACTCATGTTCAAAAAAGAGATGGCTATGAGAGGCACCCAATGAGGCGAACTTAAATGCTCAATTCTTCCAGTGTCTGAAAAGGACAGTGGATGATATCCAGGCGTTTTTGAAAGGACAAATTCCCCAGGGAGTACCTCTTTCATTTGTAGGGGGGCTCCGTTCACAAGGGGTCGTGGCTTTACTTCAGGGGCAAGTGGCCGGTTCACAGAAGGCACGAAGGACGGAATGCTGGTGCAGATGTCCTGTTCTACTTCTCCTGGAAGCAGCAGCAGCAAATCTGCTGGACACAAAATATACCACTTGATCCTGATACCAAGTTCACAATTTACCTAAATCATAGGAAAGTCTGTAATAGTCACAAGAATGAAGCAAATAGGCTCCAGGAAAAAAAAAAACAGCACTCACAATTCCTGCCTGACCTCATTTAGAACCCTGACTCAAGGGACTCCCCTTTTTATAAAATAGAGGCCACTGGTGCATTTACTATTATCTTATTGTGACAAAAATTACATCGTAACTAATAGGTCTGGGAGAAATAATTGTTTGGGGAGTTACTTGATCATACTTTCCACCCCCAGCCCAATTTCTACTCTGTAGAAAAAAATAAGGTAAGAAGATGCTCCTTCGCCTCATTTTTCCATATTCTCCTGAGGGGTTAAAAAAAAAGAGAAAAGAAAAGAAAGTGGAGTGCTCATTTCCTCCAGAAACAATAAGACAGTATTTCAAAAAATGTAATACCAAAAAAAAAAAAAGACAATGATGCCAGAAGGAAAAAACTAAATTTCAGAGAAAAATCAAATACTCTGTCATATTAAAAATGTAGAGTCTAAGGTTCTGCCCTTGAAGCAACTTGGCTTGGGGATGATAGTACAATGGGTAGGGCATTTGCTTCGCACAAGGTCAACAGGGATCTCCAGCATCCCATATGGTCCCCCCGAGCATTGACAGGAGTGATCCCTAAGTGCAGAATCAGGAGTAACCGCTAAGCATCACCAGGTGTGACCCAAAAAGGAAAAAAAAAAAAACTCGGCTTCAGTATCTTCACACATAGTCAATATCTAGTGCTGGCTTCCTGTTCGTTTCTATGTAGCTATGCTCCCTCATTTCTGCATGTGGGAAAGAACACAGACAAGTCACAAACAGCTAATCACTTCCCAGGGTCTTCTTTGAGGAGGGCAAAGAGGAAACAAAGACACACGAGGAGCAGCACTGGGCTCCTCCTCCGGCTAAACTTTCCGAGAACCAGAAGGACAGTTAAAGCTACTCAATGTGCAGCTGCCTCAGGATGCCGCTGCCTGCTCTTCAATGATGATCCTAATTAAGATACTAATTAAGTTCTTAGTGGAAATGATTAATTAACAACAGGCAGGCTTTGGCTGTGGCCAATGGTAGCATATAAAAATGGAGCAGGTATTGCGATTGAAACATTGCAACAATAACTGTCACTGTCATTGTCCTCCCATTGTTCATCAATTTGCTCAAGCGGGCCCAGTAACGTCTCCATTGTGAGACTTGTTACTGTGTTTGGCATATCAAATACGTCATGGGTAGCTTGCCAAGCTTTGCAATGCGGGCGAGATACTCTCGGTAGCTTGCCGGGTTCTCCGAGAGGGTGGAGGAATCGAACTCAGGTTGGCCATGTCGGCCGCGTGCAAGGCAAACGCCCTACCGCTGTGCTATCGCTCCAAATTCCTAAGAGTAGAGCAATGGAAAACCTAGCATAGAAATTGAGAATGTGATGATCCCCGAGCATAGATCACGATCACAATCAACCTGTTGTTCGTCGATTTCCTCGAGCAGGCACCAGTAATGCCTCCTTCTTCCTAGCCCTGAGATTTTAAAAGAGCCATTTCAATGCTCTTTCAGGATTAGGAGAATGAGATCCATCATTGTTACTGGTATTTGGCATATTGAATATGACACGGGAAGTTTGCCAGACTCTGCCGTGTGGGCAGGATACTTTTGGTAGCCTGAGCATAGAGCCAGGAATTAATTATGAGCACAGCCAGGTGTGGCAAGAGCCAAAAGAGAAAAAAAGAAATAGCGACTATGTGTGGAAGGTGGGGATGGTGAAGAAGGTAGTTAAACTATGATTGATGACTAAAAATGAAGAAAATAGGGATGTCAACTGATCCAGCCTTTTGGAAAACTATACGAACATTCCCCAAAAAACTAGGAACTGAGCTTCCATTCAACACAGCAATTCTGCTCCTAGGAATAGGGCCCCCAAAATACAATGCAGGAAAGGCATCTGCACTATGTTCATTGCAGCACTATTCAAAATAGCCAGAATCTGGAAACAACAGAAGTGCCCAAGCACGGATGAGTGGGTAAAGAAACAACAGTACATCTACACAATGGAATATTATGCAGCCGTTAGAAAAAAATGGAAGTCATGAAATTTGTTGATACATGGTTAGACAAGGAGAGTAGCATGCTAAGTGAAACAAATCAGAGGAAGAGGGACAGACATAGAATGACGGAGCTCATTTGCGAGATATAAAAAAAAAACATAGTAGGAGAAAAATACCCAAAGGCAATAGAACAGAAGGCCAGAAAGACCATTAGTAGGAGGCTTTCCACAATAGGGGGAGGGTGGTTAGGTCAGAGAAGAGATGATTATGACAATGACAGTGGAAAGTGATCACTCTGCACAAAAACTGTGTGCTGAAAGGAGGTAAAGCAATATGCATGATGGCCTTTCAATAACAGTATTGCAAATTACAGTGCTCATAAAGCAAAAAAAGAAAATGTCTGCCATAAAAGACGGCTGGGCTGGACAGTGTGAGGGAAGTAGACACCGGTGAAGTGATGGGTTCTCAGACATTGTACAATTAAAACTCAATCATGAAAAACTTTGCAATTTTAGGGTGTTTGTCTTGTACACAACCAACATGGCCGACCTGAGTTCGATTCCTCCGCCCCTCTCGGAGAGCCCGGCAAGCTACCAAGAGTATATTGACCGCACAGCAGAGCCTGGCAAGCTCCCCGTGACGTATTCGATATGCCAGACACAGTAACAACAAAGTCTCCAATGGAGACGTTACTGGGCCCGCTCGAGCAAATCGATGATCAACGGGAGGGCCTTTACTTTACTTTACTTATGGTAATCAATGAATCAAAGGGAAAAAAAGAGAATGGTACCTATGAAAATTAAGAGAATGTGGGACCAGCATGAAAGTACAGAAGGCAGGGCTTTTGCATTTGCACATGGTCTATCTAGATTCAATCCCCAGCATTCCATATGGTCCCCCAAGCATTGCAGGGGTAATTCCTGAGTGCAGAGTCAGGAGTAATCCCTGAACATTGCCAGGTGTAACTCCAAAAGCCAAAAAAAAAAAAATTAGAGGATGTGATCTAATTATTAGCATTGTAGCACTTTCCTCCCGTTGTTCATAGATTTACTAGAGCGGGCCCAATAACATCTCCATTATGAGATTTGTTTTTATTGTGTTTGGCATATCGAATACATCATGGGTAGCTTGCCTGGCTTTGCCATGCGGGTGAGATACTCTCAGTAGCTTGCCAGGCCCTCCGAGAGGGGTGGAGGAATCGAACCTGGGCTGACCGGGTCAGCCGTGTGCAAGGCAAATGCCTTACCCACTGTGCTATCACTCCAGCCCATGTGATCTAATTAAATAGAATAAATAAAATATATATATATTGACAGTCAACACATATAAATTGAAACTGCTTAGGTATTAGCTCAACTAATCCTCCCAGCCCTCTCTTAGATCTTATAGGCATGAGCTGTAAGCACTAACTATAACGTCACTCAAACCACACTGGAAAGCAGAGAACCAGGTAGTCTTTCTGCATTGCCCGTGTCAGATCCCATGTCTTAGCCCAAAGGCCTTATTATGACCTTCTTCCAAACAGGCATTAAAAAAAGACAAATATGTAATAAAGTCTTCAAGCTATGTATCTAAACTGAGGGCCCAGAAATGTCCCTGCCACAGTTACTCCATATTAGGTGCGACTCATACAATTTATATCCCAAGTAGTATTTTTATATGTAGTAAGGCTGGCCTTCTACTGCCCATGTCCACAAATTCAAAGCCAAAGTCCCTCAACTAAGACTCCTGGTAAAACTACCTTGACCAGTACAAGCCTGGGTAGAAACCTGCCAAGTGCAAAGGTATGAACAGAAAGGCTTAATGTCTCTTAATGTGAGAACCATCACCCTCTGACCTGTTGGCCCGCAAACATCAATTCAAATGTGAAATCAAAATCTATCCTACTTCCAATACTATCTAAATTCTGATGCACTGGGGAGGAAGAGTCTTTCATTTATTTACTGAAATGCTTTACTTCCCTAATGTACTTGCAAAGGAGGTAATGTTTTCCACAAAACATGGTTTCTTTCATAAAATTTCCACTTGCACAGGAACAATCCTTTCAGCACAATAAGACACCGTGTCCTCAGAATTTAAAATTCTTGTCATTTGCTGCTTCAATGCAAAAGTAAAATGCCCAACTGCATATCTACCGGTGCTTAACATATATCTATTGGTGCTTTCTACACTGTAAATTCTCAACAAATGCTTGCAAATACGAAATGAATCTCCTGCATCTCAACTTTTAAACTAAACAGCAAGTATCACGTCTACCCTGTCCAAAGAACATTGCAGATGCTATAAAATATGTGTAGGCCTTACCCTCAAATAACAAATTTTGTTACAGGGATAAGATTCTTATACATGAAATCAATCGGAGAATACTCAAGAACAAAAGTGAATAACTTTAGTTTGACCGAGAACAGATTTGCAACAGTGTGAAATCAGGAAGGATGGGAACAATCTGATCTCAGTTATGGACAGGGACAGCAACAGAGCACTTGCCCTACATGTGTGAGGCCCTGGGGACATGTTATGAGAAAACTATCTTGTTTTCGCCAGTTCACAATCATAGGTGGGTTTATAATCTATTCATATTCTCTTGGAGTGAAATTATTATGTCCAGCAGTCTAGAGGCTACTTCTGGTTATACTTTATTCTGCTGGTCAGGGTGCATGGTTCCGTGGTGGTGCTGGGGGCCCAGAGGACTACACAACTGATACTCAGGAGCCACTAAGACTATACCCAGTAAGTCACAGTGGGCCACCAAAACACTGGCTGGCAATGCTCAGTGGTAGTGGTGCCAAGGATTGAACTCAGGGCCTCATGCATGCCATGCATGGGCTCCAGTGCTCTGAGTCATCTCATAGACCCCATGAAAATGATTATTTACAACAAATTTATCTTGTGAAATGGAGAAAATCTGAGAAATGCAATGGCT